GAGAGGCACTCACACACAGTAGACGATGAGGCCCAGGAACACGAACACGTAGTTGCTTTGGTAGTACTCCACGTTTCGTACGAGGCGCTGGCACAGCTCGCCCAGGTTGCGGGGTCGCGAGAAACACCGCTGGTCCACGAAGGTGCCCCAGGGCCGGATGGTTGCGCGGTGCCGCTCCAGCCACTCACGGCCCACTCCGGAGGGGATCAGTTTCGGCAGCAGAGTGCTGGTGGGGGAGGCCAGGTCAGGGGTAGACGGCGATGGAGGCCGGACCCCCAGCCACAGGAGGCTGAGGGGGGCCAGACTCCGGGGTTCTGGGGGGTAAGGGTGCAAGACTCCTGGATCCTAGGGGAAGAGGGGGCTGAGAGCCCAGACTCCAGAATCCTCGAAGAGGCCAGGGGCCTAAACTCTGGTGTCTGGGGGCCTGGGTTCCTGGGGCCGGAGGGAGGAGGGCCGGAGGGCCAGGACTCCCGATCGGGGTTGGGGGTGGGGGGCTACAGCAGGTCTACTCACGCGGCACTCAGCCCTTCCGCCTCGGCATCCTTCTGCTGGTCCTTTTCGGCTGCCATGTCTGCGTCGTGAGGAGCAGAACCGCTACAACTATCCCTGGGTCCTGCAGACCCCGCCAGCCCCTCAGGAGCGGGGCCCCACCCAGCCGAGCCTACGTGGCGCTGTTCCGGAGCCCCTGGGGACCCGAGTTCTGCCGCTGAGCATTGTGGGAGTTGTAGTTTCTATTATGGCGGGGAGCGTGGACGCCATGATGGTTGTCTGGCTCGCAAAACATCTTGGGAAATGTAGTCGGGTAGAGGGACGACGAGCGCCTCTGGGCATTGTGGGAGTTGAAGTTCTAGGAGCCGGGAGTGCGGCGCCGGGAAGGTTTTCACGAGTCGCCGCTAAGGGGGCTCCAAAGGCAGAAGCAGGTGTTAGGTACTCTCTCCCTTTGCGGGTACGGTGGGGACAGTGTAGAGCTGCCGTTCTGACTCTAGGGGGCATACGAAACACCTGGAGGCTTCATGGGAACACTGATTCAGCACATCTGGGGTGGGACCCATTCATCTGCATTTTAACAAGTTCCTAGGTGACGCTGATGTTCCTGGTGCACAGACTACGTTTTGAATAGAGGGACTGTAGAGAATTCACGGAAATCTTATTCCTTCCTCAAGAGGCAGAGGCTGGTGAGGGGCCATGGCTGCTGGAAGGGGTATCTGAGGTGCGGAGCAAATCTCCCCCCAACCCTTGGGCTCCCAGGGATGAATGGATTAGAACTGGGAACCTAGAGACACCCT